GGGTTGGGATGAGGTGGGGGTGGGCGGCATGCACGCACGGTTGCCGACTATCACACCCAGACATGCACGCACGCATCAAAGCACGCAAGTATCTCCGTACTCACGTGCGCACGCACGCGCATGCGCCTGTGCTTGCGCGCGAGTGCGCACTCATTCTCGCAAATTCTCTCGTACTCCCCACCCCGCTCACGCACACACGAGCACAAGCACACACACACGCACACACGCGCACACGCACACGCACACGCACACACACACACACGCGCCCATGCACGCACACACACACCCCTCATGCCCTCACCCCCTCACCTCTGCAGCTTGCCTGACCTCGTTCACCATGTCCCACTGCAGCCGGTCCAGCTCACGCTTCTCTGCGCTCGTTTCGCGCCACAGATTGTCGTCCTTGTACGACTGCGGGGAGCGGACAGGGGCGGGGGCGGGTGAGGAGGTCGGGCGAGGTGAGGTGAGGCCCGGCCGCCCCTCTGGAGAGGGGTTCCACAAATTCAGCGGCTGTGAGGGTCGCCAGTATGCACCGTTGCGAAACGCACGAGGCACTGCGGCGCTCCACGTGCTGGATAGGGCCCGGTTGCAACAACGCAGGCGCCGGCCGGGGCGGCGCCCATCATGCCGGCCGCGTCACGGGGCGCCAGCCGCCTGGTGGCCTTTTCGGGAGGGCGGCGCCTGGCCTGCGCCTCTGCGACGACGTCTCCTGTGCTTGGAGACGAGCCGGCAGACAACGCAACAGCGAATGCAGTGAAGCGGTGCCGTCCTCGGCATTCGTCACTGTCAATCACCAGCAGAGCCGCGGCCTTGGCCCACCTGCCACTCTCCCTCCGGGAACTTGCCAGAAGGGAACAGCAGCCGCACAGGCACGCTCGGCGGCTCCGTCTGCTTTGTCGGCGCCGCGCCCGCGCCGCCCTTCCCGCTGCCCGCCGCCGCGCCGCCGCCGCCATTGGTCGCAGACGCGCCACTGCCGTCGCCACCGTCGCCGCCTTCCGCGCCTGCCGGCTTTTTGCTCTTCTTTTTCTTCTTTTTCTTCTTCTTGCCCTCGCCGCCAGCGCCTGGGCAGGGCACAGGGACGGTTGTTGGCAGTCCACACACGACCGAGGTTTGGGCAGCACTAGCGTCTTATGCTTTGAGTGCACGTGTAGGATTGCGGAGGCTTCAGTACACAAACAACGGTTTCAAGGCTGGGGCACAGCCCGCGCATCAACACAAGACTTGGCAAGCAAAGTGCAGAGCGGGACGGGCGCCGGGGCAGTCAGTGCCCTTGCCCATACAGCACCTGCCACGCCGCGCAGCACAGCGTTGAGCGCAGCAACCTACCCTCTACATCCCCGGCCTCGTCCCCCTCGTCATCGTCGTCCTCCGCCGCGTCCGCCCCGCTTGGCTCCGCTGCCTGCGCCTTGCCGCCCGCCGCTGCTGCCTCCGGCTCGGCGCCGTCCGCTGTCGCTTCGGCCTTCTTGGCCTTCTGCTTGGCGCGCTTCTTCTGCGACTTGCTGAGCTGTTGAGAGCCCTCCACGCCGTCCTCGAGGGACGCGTCCTGCACCCCAGCCTCCAGCTCCGCCATCTGTACAGCGTCGGCGATCATTGAGTTTGAAACGTGTCTACGTACGTGTTCGTGCTGTCTATGCAGGACGATAGGATCTGCGCGTGGGCCTTGCGAGCTTGGACGGCGGAACTCGGCGTTCACAGGCTTATAAACACGTTATTAAGTGGTGCCCGACCGAGGTGAGGCAATCCACTAGCGGCCTGTTTGATATGGCGGGCGTGCGGCACCCGGGTGTGAGCATCGTCTGCTGCAGTTCTGCACAACGCCACCCGTGAGGCCGGGGCCAGCGCACAGCAACGCGTGTTGGTGACCTGCCATGGATCAGAAACCTTCACCGGCCTGTGAAGCAGATTTTCTGCTGTCCAGAACCAGGCTCAGTTCGTATTGGTCAACGTGATGACTACGCAGGTCAGCCTCGCTAGTACGTCCAAGAAATGCCACTGATGCCTGAATCTCCAACCCGTGCCAGCTCGTCATTGAACACTAACAGCAGCCACCGACCTTACACTCGTCATGCGGTGGCCTCCAACTTGTGCTAAGACGAACAGCAGCTATGAAAGCCTGCACGCTTGCTCTCACAAAAACAACCTCGAACAGCAACCCAACAACAACCGCCCTGACGGCCAAGGCGCCTCAACCCACCCCTGCGACCCGCTCTCAACCCGCACCCCTCCCATCAACACAACCCAAGCCCTCGCCCCTGTCGGCACCGGGATGCAAACGACAACACCACCTAGGCGGTGCGCCTCGCCACTTCTCTTTGCAACAGCTGGCCGCCGTACCAGCACCCTACCACCCCCTCTCTCACGCGGCCGCCTTGTGGTGCACCAGGCCGTGCGCCTGCAGCTCAGTCAGGCCGCCGTCGACCGGCAGCGCGTGGCCTGCGGGAATAGTTCCACGCATGGGCTCGTCAAAGGGTGGCAGGGTCGGGTCTTGATATGTTGAGCCAGGCCTCAAAAAGGGGGGTGCAAGAACTGGGCTGCTGCTGGCGTCGCCAGAAAACACCCACCCGCGGCACAAGGCCGTCCACGGTCCCCAGTGTGGTGACAGGTTTGACCGCTGACCCCAGCACCCACAACCGACGCTCCAGTGGGGTATTAAGCCCCCGGAGGGCGCAAGTGGGCCGGGCTCACCAGTGGTCAGCGTGGTGTTGGGGTGCAGCAGGAAGCAGATCGCGTGGGCCACCTCCTCGGGCGTCGCGATGCGCTGCGGGAGCAGCGCGGCGAGGGCGGGTTGCTCGCGCGCGGCGCGCGGCGGTTGGGGGCACAACTCGCCAGCGACAGCAGGGGTGAGCAGGTAGGCTCCGCTTCCGGCCGGATAGCAAGGCAAGGCCCCCGTTTTGTCCAGCTCACGAGGCACTCCCAGCTGGTGCCGTTCCCAACCGAATTCAACGGCATGCCAGCAGCAACACCATTTGATACCCGCCCCCCCCCCAGCCGCCACCCCTGCAAACCTTCATGGGGTACAGCTGAGTTCACGATGATATCATGACGTGATCACGAGGGAGGGTATGCAGGCAGGCGGCGGTTGCTTTCGGGGTGCTGGCGTCTTGTGCACTACTGCTGCGAGGCTTGCTCGTCACAAGGCCAGACGCCCGACTGCTGGCAATGTGCCCACGCACCCAGGGTTGAGAAGCTGTCAACCCCAGAAATCAACAGCCCATCTCGCCGCCCGAGCCCGACAAACACACACGCACACACACCACGTGGTGTGTGACGCAGCCGCCAAAC